TAAATTTGGATATGAAAGGACAATCGTTAATAATAAAATCTATTTCGATCAACACATTTTCATTTTAATATCCGTGAAAAGTTGTCCAACGCGACTGTATTTTCGGTATGTATTAATCACGTCTCGCCTCTGGCCTGAAAAATTAATTTAAAATTTTTAAATGGGGGAGGCGATGTTTTCCGGCAATGGCACAATCAGGGGTCAAGGACTCAGGTTTAAGGACCGTCAAACTATAGTATTATGTATGTATAATTATTTCTACGATATCCGTCCAAAAATATTAGTACTTTTGTATGTAATTTGCAGTTAGATTACTAACTATGGCTTGCTTTAATGATGAACAAAAACATCTTGAGGAAATCTACATGCTAGGAAAAGAAAGTTATCCAAGAAATGTGTAGTCATTGGTGTAAAGTAAACTTGTGCATAAAAGTGGATTCGTACCTAGTAGTGAGGCAGGCACCGGTCTCTTCTAAACATCTTTTTTTGTGTAGATAAGAAATACCAATGCCGGAAAACAAAAGAATTAATCATCAAGTAATAATTAACTTAAACAATGAAGCAATAATTTCGAACAATGAACCAATTAGATTACCGGAGATACCTAACTTGGGAGGCACAGGAAAAATACTGGCTTCATTAATTATTCATGAGAGATATCAAAAGTTGTGGGCTCGTGTACTAATGTTCAAGGATAATATCTTAAGGTAAATCGCAAAAGGAAAATTATCTAGGTCATGTTTTCATACGAATATTTTGCAGGAATACGAGAGCCACACTGAAAGTTTTGCACTCATAAATAAAATTATTTATAACGAAATGTTTATTGCTTTTCAAAATATTCTTCGTTACATTTTAAACACCTTTTCATACGCTCAAACCATTTTTTAAAACACAAAGCCCACTCATTTGAGAGTACGTCTTCAAAGTGTTGGTTGAAAGTCGCCACTGCCACTTCTGGCTCCGGAAATGTCAATCCCCTCATCCAATCTTTGATTTTCGGGAAAAGAAAGGAGTCACATGGTGTTAAGTCTGGGCTGTGAGCAGGATGGGTCACGAGCTCCACCTTTTCGGTACACAAAAACGCTTTTGTTTTGTTCGCCGTGTGAGAAGAAGCATTATCGTGGTGCGATTTTTCGGTCACCTCTCGCGAACTTTTTCGAGAACCTTCGGCAGACAAACGGTGGTGTACCATTCAGCATTCACTGTTGTTTGTTCTTCGAGGGCAACAGAGCAAACATGACCCGTTTTAGAGAAAAAACTCGCTGTTTGTAAAATATTTCGTCTCCAGTAACGATGTCATAAACAGCGTTTGAACGCCCGTGGTCAAACTTTAGCAACAACTCTTTGCACCAAACAACACGAGCCCGTTTCTGGTCTGATGTGAGTTTAACAACAAAGTTTCCTGACTTGCAAATGTTTGTGCAAATTTTTTTCAATTTGGCTCATATCGATCGTCGTAGGTGATTCGCCGATTTTCTTCAATGAGTCGCTTGATGGTAGCCACATTTTAATTATTCACTGCAGTTGACGGACGACTTTCACGAATCTCATCATGGTGAGAAACAAGACCACTATTAAATTCAGCGTACCAACGCCTGACAGTGCTTAAATGTGGTGCTTTAAGCCCAAAAGCGTTTTGACGGCGAGCACAGCGCTGATGTGGAGAAAGAGAACTTTTAAAGTCATAAAAAATCATCTATAAATCTCTAAGAGTCGTATTCTAGAACTCTACTCAATGCTCAAGTCAGGATTGCACTGGAAACACAAGCACTGGAAATACGACCCTAATGGCAGGGACTTCAGTATGATTTCGAGTGCTTTAAACCATACTCAAATCCTGACTTGAGCATTGAGTAGTTCTAGAATACGACCCTAAATCGTTCTAAAATCTTTACGCGTTAAATTCATTTTCAGTGCGAAACCGTACAACTCAACTGGTCAAATTTAAAAAATGACAATCAGTTACCCGCCTAAAAATATTGCATTCGATATTCGATAGATAGAATTCTATATTTTGTTTAAACATAACATTTGAATTCCGAATATTAATGAGTCGCCAGGAGTGCAAAACTTTCAGTGTAGCCTACGTATATCCAAACCCTAGTGATTTCTACGAAATAATTCATGTGTATTAATATGGTATGATTTTGGTGTTTCATTTGCGTAAATACTTGTTCTCACTTTTCTTTTAATTTTGACTTCAGATTTATACATCTAGTATATATCGACCAGTTTAACTTGAGCTTTACTATAATGGACGAAAATTGCAAAAATACATATTTATTATTTAATTAGGTACCGACGAAATGTGATTCCGTTTGTTTTGTAATTAGATGTTTTGCTGTTGTCCCACACTACCCAATAGAACAGTTCCCATTGTTAGAGATATTATCTTTATTAAAATAAAAACAGTACGTAAACACAGGTCAGTTGTTGGCGCTGCACTATTTCAGTTTTCTAAATTTGTGACTTCAGCACAGACGAAAGTTGATATTTAAAAGTGATCTAAGGCTCATTTACCTGATGAGTTGCCAGGGGTGGATGGCCTTTATTTCGTGTCTATTTCTGGTTATATAATAATAATAATAATAATAAATAAATGATATTATTTTAACATATATATTAAAACATCTAATTACAAAACAAGCGGAACCACATTTAATTGGTAATTAAATATTAAATATAATTTTGCAATTTTCGATCATTATAGTAAAGCTCAAGTTAAACTGTTCGATTTGAAGATTTTGAACAATTGACGACATCCGTCAATTGTTTCGAATTCGGACTGGCCAATCGAAGCGCAGTTGTCACAGTAATAATTTGGCAGAATAGTTTTCAAACAAATTTAATGACATTTCGTCTTTATTTCTGGTTATATGCTCTATGGGTTTATACTAATAATACATAATAGTACAACAAGAAGTCTCACCGTATTCTATTCATAGTCCTTGTATGTCTAGAGCACCCTAGGCCCATCAGTGGAACCTTCGCCGATTGGCAAATACTTTTAACACGATGGCAAACATGTGCCATATTGCTGGGCTGCAAGTCTATGCCACCGAAACGATAAAAAGAAGAGTAAATGAAACGATTTTTCTTGCACTATAAATCTGATAAATATGTAGTTATGTACCTATTTATTATACAGGACTTTTTAAGGATGTACAAAATTTTGTGTTCAAAGCAGTTAGTTGTTCGAAGTAAAGCCTCTCTACGAATGCCACATTAAATGTATCACAGCATTTTATTTTTTAATCGTTATTGATGTCGTTTTACTTATTAGGTAACATCAGTTTAAAGGTTTTTGATATCTCTTATAATAATAATAATAATCGTCTGAGCAACACTTAACGATACCATCCTGTATAATAAATAGGTTCATACCTATATATTTATCAGATAATTTGACTATTTATAGTGCAAGAAAAATCGTTAAGCTTATTCTTCTTTTTATCGCATCGGTGGCGTAGATTTGCAGCCCAGCAATATGGCACATGTTTCATACTGAATTATCGCCTGGGCACACTTAACTATTACACTCTGTATATTTTGTAAACCGTATATAAATGTAACAATTTAATTAAGGTGTCTAATTATGCGATTACCTATACCTACAAAAAAGTAAATTAGTTACAAGACTTTCAAGTGAACGAAAATAGGATATTGTTTAAGATTTTTTAGTGAACTCGTTTCAAGACAAGACTTTAAGTACGTCATGGTTATTTATCAAATGATTTACTAGTTACATTCTCACTATGGAAACTAGTGATTAGCGTTTTGTTTCAAAATTTTGGAGTTAGCGAAATTAGGATCTATTTCCAAGACTTTCAAGTGAACGAATTTAGGATCTAATCCCATGATTTTGAAGTAAACGAAATTAGGCTTACAGGGTTATTTAACGTTTTTCATATACTCGAAAGCTCATAGGAATGCCTTTTTAAGTGGTTCCAAGTTATTTAAAAATAACTACGTATAGTTTTAGCGCGCTTCTCATGTAAGTTATTTATGTAACTGAGCTTCCGATCCTCCATCTTCTTCTATCTCATCAAAAGATTCAAGTGAATGAAATTAGGATTAAGTTTCAAGACTTTCAAGTAAACAAAATAATGCTCTACAGGGTTATTTAATATTTTTTCCCTCACTCGAAAGTTCCATACATATTGTTTAAATGATAGGAATGGCTTTTTTAAGTGGTTTCAATTTATTTAAAAATAAGTATGTATAATTTTAGCTCGCTTGTCATGTCACATGAAAAGAGTTCTACGCCCATATATAACTCCAGAAATGTATAAGCTCTTCCGGTCCTCCATCTCGTTCTATGCTAAACGTACAAGATAACAAGGAACAATGTTCAATATTTACCTGTCGTCTTCCTTGGCTATTTCTTCGAATTTGTCTTGGAATAGTATGTCTTCTTCCGTCTTATTGAAGAATAGCAGATGGACTTGTTCGCTATGACAAACGAAAATGTATAAGATTTAAATGCGTTTCGCTATTCACGGCACGAGTTGCCTTTGTTTAAGTTAAACGTAGCAAATAAACTTCTCGGTAGGGAAGAATGTATTCTTGAAAACTGCAAACAGCATCAAGTGCAGCAATTCTAGACAATTTTCATATATTTTACTTATCGTCGCTTAGCAAACAATACCTCTTAAGTAATTTCAAGTAACTTTATAGGCGCGTGAAAAACCTCCATATATGTATTATTGTATAAAATTATTGCATATATTATTGTAACAAAATTATTAAAATTTTAAAATTCTATTAAATAATTAACCTATTACTAATAATAGGTAAACATTTAAAAAAATTATACAATAATATATGCAGGTTTTTCACGCCCCTAGAAAATTACTTGAAATGACTTAAGCCGTGTTGTTTGCTAAGCGATGATATATATCGCACTGCTATTACAATAGTGTTGTAACTCAAAATACGCGAAATTCAAGATTATTGGTATAATCAATATAATAAAATAGTGGTATAATAAAGTAATGCTTTACTGAACTTAAAATTTGATTCGCTACACGTCAATAAAACCGTCATTAGAAAATTGTAAGAAACAATTAAAAGATATATACTTAATACAAAATGAGCCAAACTTTAAGTGAGCTACTTCTGGACAAAACGGTCCTTACTCAAAATATGAAAATATTTCTTCCCTTTTATTTTTAAATATACTTGGAAAGTATGAAATTGTTTAGATGTCTACAATAAAATTTATTTTATACATAAATTTTAATAATCTTTCACGGGAAGTAAGTAGTACATTTTCCATGGATTTTTAAAAAACACACCTTTTAGTAAAGTGCAACAGTGCAATATAACTTAACAATAACGAAATAATAATGCGTTAATGTGCCAGACAACTACAATTCACTATACTATGAGTATCAGAGCAGTGGAATTCACTCTGGGGCACATAATAATAAAATACACACGCATAGCCCCGCACACATACATACATAGACAACCACAAATTACATCCAAACTCTCGTGAGAAATAAAGGCCATACAAATATTTCTCCCGACCCGGGAATCGAACCCGGGATCTCTGCGTGGCAGACCAGCATGGTAACCGTTCGACCAGGAGGCACTTGCTTCCCAGAACACGCAGATTAGAACCAATTTAGAAAAAAATTGTTTCCAAATTTGGTCCTACCGGGAATTGATAGAATAAATAAAAAAACGTACGATATAAAAAATATCGTATTTCATTATCAAGTAGAACTTTGTCATTGTCGGCACCAGCCAAATGGCGTATACAGCTGATGAAATGTAAGTTATTTATTTACTCTATTTTGTCAGTATCCTAAAAATTATTTTGGAATTACGTCATTTTATTATTGATGGTGCGTTATATAACCATATGTTTTCAGTTCAACATTATAACCTAGAGAATAAAATAGTGTATTATTAATATCTATAACATGCAAAGCGACGGCTAAATTCGAAAACCTCGTAACATCATTTTTGGCCGAAAGCCCTCTTCTACTCTTCAAGCACAATATTGGGCAATTAAAGCTCAAAATGTAATTTCCAAATCCTCTTTTAGTTTTAAAGAAAGGTTAACATAGGTTCTCATTAAAGTTATTTCTAAGTAATTCTGTTTTTGTGCCTACTCAAAAGTTTATGCTATGTGTTGGGCGAATATGTTAATACAAAAAAGGTCCTTGAAAATGAAAATGAAAAATGAAAAAAGTTTGTTTCTTTCTTCATAGTTGTTTTACATAAAGTTGGGACTTCATAATAGGTGTCATCCACCTATGACTGCATGGCCTGCTCTTCCGTTATTCCTTAGTCGCTCTTCCATTATTCTTTAGTTATAGGAAACAAACTTAATAATTCTCTAAGTTACAAAACTTATTGATTCAATATTATTTTATATTATATGTACCCTTGTACGAGTATGCGCGATTTTACAAATTTTTTAGTCAAGTCGACTAAAAACAGTGTTTTATGAATCCTACGCAATGTAAACTTTTTGTTTTTTACCACACTAATATACCCTATGCTTTCAGTACTGGAATAACAGAATTCACTAATAATTCACCGAGTACACCCAGACCAAAACCATTTAGAAAGGTTTTTTTCCCAAATAGTAGTATAGTAGCAATAGAGCTCATTGTGAAAGAGTTCGTCCAGGGAAGTACTTATTTCTGGTGCCAAGCAGTAATGTGAGCATTACTGTGTTTCGGTTTTGAAGGGTAAGGATGCTAGTGAAATTACAGGCACATGCGACCTTCAACTTATGTCTCAGTATGACGTCCGTAGTGGCAGTGTCCCTCAAATCTTTGCGATTTAAAGCTCTGAACTGCAATATGGACAGGCGTGTCGCTTAACGTCAGGTGCACGACTTGTTCGTCCTGTCACTTGGAATAAAAAAAATTAGACCTATCAAGATCCCGTCATTCAGCGCCCACGTGACCGAAACCGTTTACGTTTAAATGTCTTTGTTTTAAATTGATTTTATTGTTTACTCTTGTTTATTCAGCATTATTTTCAATTAAGCTAGGACCTCTGAACACGACATTTCTGGCATTAAAATAAACAATTTTGTTCTGAGTCGCAAACATTTTTTTATTTCCGTACAAAATGTAGTAGAAATAGAAAAAATATTGTGAATTTGCGAAAGTATATTTCCAAGTTAATATAGAATGTAGCATATCTAGTATTAATTTAATAAAAAATAAACCGTATTACCTGCGTTTATTCGTAATTGAGCAAGAACTTTTAATTATTAATCCTTATTCTGCTAGTGCATGTTAAAAGCCTGGTCTAAACATAATTATTCTAAGACATAAATGAAAAGAATATGTAACGCAACGCATATTTAAATAAATCAGTAGGTCGATCACGATGTCGCGTGTCTACCATTGACTTAATGGAGCTGGCTAAAGCTTTTAAACCAAAGGTCAATGCCAATAGATAGTATATTACTTAAGTATTGCGTAATAATCAATTTCTTTCCAATCACAATGGCGTTGATATTAAAATAGGCCCGTGTAAAAGCTTACTTACAATGTGTTAGGCCATTGTGAGAGAACGGAACCTGTACTAGGATACTTAACGTGACCATAGTCCCGCTTTTAAGCTTCGTGTCCCGCTGTCCCCAAAATATTTAAATGTTCCGTTTTGACAAAACAGGACAATAAATGTAAAAAAATGGTACGAAAAAAAAAAAACAGAAAAATATATAAAGCCAGCCCACCAGACAACACAACAAGTTCCTTTTTTAATTTTTGGTTATTAAACATTTTTAGTGCTTTCTTTTTTTTACAACCATTTCGTAACTATCATAAACAAGTGTTTTTTTCAACAATAATAAATGTACAGGAGTCCCGCTGCGAGGAAAAAAAATAATGGTCACGTTAAGGATACCCTTGTGTTACAGTATTACGACCTCACACACTTGGATTTATTTATAAATATACAAAACATGTAAATGGAATAATAACATAATAATAATAGAAGAAACATAAGTTAAGAAAATCGTAAAGGTGAATCCAGATTTGTGACATTTCCACGCACTGGACTTCGTAACCGTAACAGATACGCGTGATAGAAACACAAATGTAGATGGTTTTTCATACTCGGACAAATGACACGACCAGTATTGTTACACGCAGCGATCCAAAATCCACGGGCCTTTGAACTGGCATGTAAATTGTGGCTACGTGACATTCTAGTGAGATTCAACGATGATTTTTGTACTGTCACGCTGCGATGTCACAGGTCAAGTCCTGATTCGTCGGAAGGAAGTTTGTTCAAAGGATTTCCTGTCCTAGTCCGGGTGTGAGCAATGTCCATAGTTTTGACTTTGCCACACGTGACAGACGCGCCACAATTTTGTGTGTGTATATACATATGACGTCACGGAGTTTCGGTGCGTCGAAATGTTACAAATGTGGACCCACCTTAAGACAACTAATAGTATTATTTGTATGCAAGCAGAGTAGGTACGAACGTGAGTGTGTCCTCGTGCAAGCGTGCGTGCGTGTGTGTGTCAGTGATTACTTACCAACGCGGGTTTGACCTGCCCAGCATGAACCTTAGTAACCCTAACATCGGAGTGATGCCTGTGCCAGCTGCGATGAAGTATATTGTTTTTACTGCTTTTAACTGCAAAAGAAACAATAACGATTGGACCCCACTAATCAGTACTAGTGTTTATGTGGGTATCAGAGGATCCGAAAGAACCAGGCGTTGGAGGACATCGTGTCTGAGTCCAATATTATCGGAAAAATCATGTCCGCAAGACCCCGTTGGCTCGGACATCTCGAAAGGATGCCAGTTCATAGGGCAGTGAAAAAGGTCTACATGAGACGTCCTAGTGGTCGACGATCAGTTGGTCGGCCCAAACACCGATGGAGGGACGAAGCGAAGAAAGACCTCTGGGAGGAGATTACACAAGACAGGGCGCGCTGGCGCCAACTCGTAGGCCAACTCACTTCGGGTCGCTGAGCCGGCGGAGTAAGTAAGTAGTAAACAAGAATAAAATATTTTTTCACTTCTCATGCTCTAAAAGTACGTCAAGATAGCCTTACGGAGCGGGAGTAAAGTGCATCCTTTAATCCTTAGGGAATAAACGGTACCTAATTTTTTAATTTACTTCGAGGGAACAAACTCAAACAGTCAGTAGTACGCTCGGTTTTAGTTTCGTGCCTTTTCCGCATATACGTTGGCGCCATATTATTTTACCGCGTTTGTTGTATCTGTTTGGTTGCAAAAACAATACCGCGAAAACTTCAGAATTTTGGTTCGTAATTTTGTTGTAGAGCGAAAACGATTGAAATATTTTTTTCTTGCAATGGAAGTGAAAAGTTAAGTTTTCAACTTTTCGGTGTCTAGCCACCTCGGGTATACATTGGCTCATTTTAGTACCTCGATAAAAATATCATTTCAATTCAAATAAAAATGTAAGTATTTTCACTCCCGACTGCGTATCAAACTATTTTTAGGTATACTTTATACAAGATGCGTCCACGGCATACAATCTGTCATTTTTAATCAGTGAAAATTGTATATGATGTACTAAGAAACACGTAAATTCTACAATATATTTACGTTGCAGAGTTATTATATTACATATATTATTTATGTTTTTTACCTTTTGAAGTTGAAAATTTCCATATGGTCCGGAGAGCGTAACATTATCGCCAGATTTCAATTCAGCTAACAATGGTGACATTTGCCCCTTTTCATATTTCTTTATGGTCAGTTTAAGCGCCCCCGAAACTTCGGTTTCAGCGCCCCAGCCTTCGCCAACGGGCGTATATGATCTCACGCAGTTCGTCTCTGAACCTGTGAAAAAGTAATTTTACTTTGCAATTATGATTCAAATTTAGAGGTTATCGTGGTCCACCCTACGGTGGACGACGCTTGCACGTTTGAACTTGCAATTACAATATTACTACCACATACAGATCTGAAATGTCAGATACATAACGTAAAAGTTAATTTAGCATGTTTTGTAAAAAATCATAAGGCCAAAGTTGTTATTTAAAATGCGAGGTTGTTACTATTTTACAAATAACCCCGTATAAAAGAAACAGTGTATGAAAATAAGTTTCAATCTTTATCGGTTAGTGACGTTATTCTTTTGAACGTGCGGTATGTGCGATGATATACCAAGTAGATAGTATTGTATCGGTTTGATCACGGTACTTATTTGTTTTATATACATATATCTATGTCGTCAAAACCACTGTGAGCTCAATCGAGGAAAGTGACTGATATAGAGATACACGGTGCATGTATACGGCGTAAATTTATAAAAAAGAAATTAAAAAACTTTTTTAAATCAAAACTGTCCATCACCGTAGTGATGGGTTAATATATTACTTGGTTAAATGTTAAACGAATATCCAACGTACCTGAAACTGGCATATGTATACAAATGTGATGTCCCAAAGGTACAACGACGGGTCCTAAAAGCGGCGTTAAGGATAATAACGTAGTGTCGTGCGACACACGACTCACGGACACGACACGGCATTCTACGGTCCTTGGGGACGACACTCTTGTCGGAACGCCCAGTGATATCTCCCCGCAGCCTTTCCATACACCCGTCTCGGCCTTTTGGGCACTCACCTGAAACAATGTAACGAGATATGTCATACAGGGTATCTCGTAAATAATGGACAATATGACAACAAGAAAACAGAACAAGATGTTCAATAAAATTTAATTAAGAAAAGTTCTTGCTTGCTATATTCATATATTTGACGACCTCTACGGTCAAATGGCTTGCATACCGGTTTTCATAATGATCCGGCCGGGTCAATGCATGAAAAACTAACATTTGCTATATTGTCTCGGGTCTGGGTGTTTGTGGTACCGCCGTTGTTTCCGATATCCATAACATAAGTGTTAGTGTCTTACTTTGGGGTCAGAGCAACCGTATGTGATGTTGTCTAATATTTATTTATATGACCTTTTGCAAAATACAAAATATCGAACTGTTTTTTAGAATATGTTTTTAATTTTAATGTAATCTTTTAAAAGGTACAAATATCGGCAAACAGTTAAATGGTCCACGTGATGGAAAGTAGTAACGGCCTATAGATTAACGCCAGATATATTGAGATATTAAGGAGCGTTAATATCGCCAACTTGTTTGCCGGCAGTGTAACATGAGATTTTAAGGGTCTAGTGTCTGTTTTTAGGTTGACGTTCCTAATAGCAACGCTACTTTGCGGAAAAAATACGTGGCTACAGCTACATACTGTTCATTATTTACGGGGCAGCCTGTATATTGTAGATGGAGACATGTATGCTTACGCTTCAAGAGTTTTGACAACATTCTCATTTCCTTTGTGTGCCGTCGTATCGTATCATGAATAGTTAAAAATAATTGTTCAAGTTTTAATTACTGCATGTCGAATTAAGCTATTATGATATGAATTAAAATTAGGATAAGTTCAAATTTCGTAATTTATTAGTAAACGTGTAAAGGTGACAAAGGAATATTGTACAATAGATTGAAACTCTGTCACACGATGTACCTATGAATCCACGAAAGTACGTAAAAGTAAACTATTTCGCCTAAAGATGGATGCAGCTGAATACAGCTGATCTGTCTGAATACAGCTGACGTGTGTTATGTTACTAACTTGTATGGACTTTGATGTCTGAGAACAAATGATTTTTATTATTTTTTAAAGGGAAAAATATTGCATCTTTTTCGTTTTTAAGAACTGAGAGCCTTGGTACAAGTAGTCAATTTGGTTTCAATAAATTTTATCTAACCATTACATAAATTTTTTAGTGAATAAAATGATGTTTTACTACCACGATAAAAGCCGAAAAAACCAAACGCAAAAGATTTGTAACGAACACTTAAATTTGTAAGGTATCGATTGAGCTTAGTTGGTAGAAAGGTGGCGCTAGTTTGGCAGGTTCGAGTCCTGCCAGATCCAAGAATTCTTTTGTTTTAATTCGATTTTTATATTAATGATTATAATAACAGTATATATAAAAAGTTGGTACCTTAGGCTTTTCTCTATATTAAATTACGTTTACGAGGAAAGCTTCAGGTTACGATAAAATAATAATATATTTATTTCCAATGGATATCTTTTAGGTTCAACGGTGTCGGTTATCGTATTTCTTCTTGAGCGGTTAGATGCTTGTGATAAACTCCCATATGCAATATTGCACATGTGTTTCTAGGTACACATTTTAGAGGAGGGATTACTTACCCAAGATTATTTTAACCTCATTATTTCGGCGTGAAGAGACGTTCTGCCGTCCATTAACTAAAACGCGGCTAGGTGACAAGTGGTGAATTATTCGTTTTAAATATCATAAGATAGAGCTCAAAACCGTCTATTTAAAAACAGTCAAAGTTTGTTAACGTGGTCGACACATCGGAATTTACCCTAATCGTGCATAACTAAAATAATTATCTTTAAACAATTTCAATATTCTAAAACTAGGTTATGCTTTTTATGATTATGCTAGGTTATGATATTGATGCAAACTCGTATCTCGTAAAGAGTGATTATTCAGGAAAAACTTTCTATTTATTTTAAATTTCTTATCACGGGTGTTAATTTGGATGCATTAGTTTAAGAATAAGTAAAAGCCAATACTGGCCACTACATACGTAAGTGGCCTGCAAAATTTGTATATACAATCCATTTTATGCATTAATTTAGTAATTACTATAAAGTGTTGTTTGTAAAATACTAACAACCTCGCTTGACTATATTACTAACATCATAAACAACAACTTTTGTTCCATAACATTTGATAATTCAATACATTCATTTATTACTTTCATATAAAAAGAAAAATATTTAAATAGATCGTTCCAAACGGTGATAACTCTGCAAAACGCAAGAACGCGGATAGGGTTCATCGGGGAAGCTTGCACGTTTGAACTTACTATCTTTCTACCAGATACAGATCCAAAAAGTGTCAGATAACACAAAAAAAAATCTTAAACATTTATTATAATAAAGGTTGAACACTTGAAAAATTCATTTGATCCGGCTGGATTCGAACAGCACTAAAAAAACTTTTATTTTTGGTAAATTTATTATGTTTTGTAAAAAGTCAAAGAACGAAAGTTGTTGTCATGATGTTAGTAATATAGTCCTTGAGGTGGTTGTTAGTATTTTATAAATATTTTACAAATTACCTGTAAAATGTAACTCAAAGCTATGGAGATGTCAAAACAATGAGAAATACTATTGATTGTTTAAATTATATTTCTCCGGTCCGCTTTTGTGAATAATTGGCCTTGAGGCTGAAATCTTACCTCAATTTTCCCACTTTCCGTAAATGTTCGTAATTGCAAAGGTAGTTCTAGTTTCGCTTCAGGAACTAATTTCAAAGTTCTAAGCCAGCCGTCGGTCGCAACCTCTATAAACAGGATTCCTTCATGTATTCGGGCACATCCTCCGGGATTCGCTAATGATCCGGTGTATACAGATATTGTAAGTTTCGTAGATGTTTGAATCCAATCATGTCTTAATGAGGGCGGTGTTTCTTCCGTACTTTTCTCCGTTTTCGCTGGAGTATAAGCGGCTCGTCGACTTATCGATACGGGTAAATCGCTCGACTGTATTAAACTTTGCATAATTTTACTAGGCGGACTCCCTTTAAAGTTTTCTTCGTTTTTCGACGCTATTTTCTTTTTAACAGGGGTGATGCAATTTGCTATGTTTTCCATTGATTTTCTGACCAGTTCTTGTGCTTTTGAAGGTTCTCGAAGGCGATCAGATTTTGGTGAAGGATTTGAGGAATCGAAGAGTTCCTCAGCGCTCGGTAGGTCAACTTGTAGAGGGCCAACTAGACATTTTGCTAATAAGGAATCGTAGTTGACCCAAGGGTGAACTTTGTCGAATAATTGCGTAGCGTCTATGCCTGCTCCGCGCATTAGTTCTTCGGGTCCTAGAAAATAAATAAAAAATTTAAAACTTGTCGAGTTCTTAAGTTTTTGCGATTATTGGACTGTGAAAATGAAACTATTTTTTCAAATATTTCGGGCTCTTTACAGGTCCCATGGTCACGACTGTCTGTGTGTGAATGGGCCTGTGGCGCGAGCAAGCCCGTACAAATCGGTACGGCGCGACGCGACCCTTGAAATTACGGGCCGTGTGAAGCCACCTTGCGTTGTCAACAGACTATCAGACAACCATCCCAGTCAGTCGTGACCACGGGACCTATAAAGAGCCCGAAACGTTGGTTTGTTTGAAAACTTCCGATGTTAGATCTCAAAAAATTGTTTCATTTCCAGTTGTAAAAACTTAAGCACCAACACATTTTACAGGTCATATCAGATAGTATGCCCATAATGAAAGCTTTCATTTGGATCCTGACCACATCATAGAATAGTCGCAGTAGAACTCCTCGTGAAAGAGTTCATCCACGGAAGTACTGTCACCTTAGCTATTTCTGTCGCCAAGCGGTAATGTGCATCATTAAATTTGACCCACTTCTGTTGTCCCGATTTTTTCGTCGGATACAATTAAACGATCCTTACATAAAACTGAGGCAATCAGCAGAAACAAAAAATTGATCAGTTTTATTCTTTTTATGGACAACTCACACTTTATCAATGAATTAACTATGCCATTATATTTTTATTCAATTAAAAGATAATTTTATTAATAGGTTTGCATCGGTTTTGTTATCTGTTAACTTATTGCAACCTCTTACAGTAGGCAAACTGAACTTTTAAATAGACTTAGACTTAGACTTTTAAATCAAATACAAAATTTTTAGGCTATGCTATTGATAATACTTTGAGTCATCAAACTCATATCAATAATGTATGTAATAAAATAGCAGGTGGAAATTATGCACTTTTTAAATTAAAGCCATTAATCGATAAAAATACATTGTTGACTGTGTATTATGCGTACATTCATTCGATAATAAATTACGCTGTGACAATTTGGGGCAACGGCGCCGATGTAAAACGCGTTCTGGTGCTACAGAAACGATCGATCGAAGAATAATCAGTGGTATCCAAAGAAGAATATCCGCAAAAATCTTTTTTGTTAAATTGGGGGTCACGACAGTAATATCATTGTTTATTTTTAATTCCTTGAAGGAAGTACATAAAAAGAAGAATAACTTGAAAAGGACCAGAGACATACACCCTTACAATACTAGAAACAAAAACAAACTGATAGTACCAAAAACGAGATTGAAAAGAACTGCTAAGCAAGGTTACTGTCTAAAGATAAAATTGTACAATGAACTACCACCGACTATATCCGAATTGCCCGAATTAGAATTCAAAACAAAGATAAAAAAATTTTTAATTGAAAATCCATTCTATAAAGTTAACGAATATTTTGACCTTATGCATTCAAAAAAATGCTCATTATTTTATAACATTTAATGTATCTATTAATGATTTATTACTTATGCGATTTATTTCATAACAATATATTATTATTAAATAATATTTAAATTATGTGTATATGTGCAAATCTTTGAATTTAGTTCTAGTAGTGTGTTGAGTGTGTGCATTAGTTATAGGTAATATTAAATGTTAGTAGTAAATGACTTTGATAAGAATTTTTTACTATTGACTTGCTAAATGTTACGAGCTTTGTGACGTGGCAAATAAAGAATTTGAATTTGAATTTGAATTTGAAAGCCTTTCTACGAATGTCATATTAAAAGTATGGGAGCGTTTAATGTTACAATTTTGGATATTTCTAGTTTTATTTTTAATAAGTTATTGATGTCAATTTACTCATTAGGTAAAGTACTTTCGTATAAGTTTAAAGCTTTTTGATATCTCTTATATTTATGGAATAATCGCTTGGGCACACTTAACAATTACAGCCTGTATAAGTAGAGTAAAAAAACAAATAAACGCAGACGAAACCGAAAAACACTGTGACATAAGTATTACTCTACAAAATTAAAAGACGTATGATGCGAATGAATCTTCATATTTGACGTTGTTTTTTAATTTGATCGAGTATTACTTATTTGACAGTAATTGTTTCGGACGGATGTCGGACGGAGAGCCACTGGTTTAGAAACAAGTAGCGCGACAGCGCGTACGGCAACAGACACTGGTTCTAGCTTAGTTAGGTCGAAGAAATTTTTCTTTCTGTTCAATCTTTATATCAGTGAATACAGTGAGTTTTTTCTCATTTCGTCGGTTCAAGTGCCGATTCAGGCCAGTGATTTATTAAGAATCTTTGAATGCAGTATTACTTCATTTGCTTTCTTGCTATCTTCAATATTTAAAACACTTCGCCGATGTGGCATAGTCCCGGGATGCCCTGTATACTCCATAGGCCTCAGTAGCCGAGTCACTTACACATTTAACATATCGCTGCCTTTACACAATAACGCAGTAAGTATTGCAGAATAAGTACTGGTTTATTGAACTAATCACACATCTACGAGCCAACAAAAGATGATCGTCAATAATGCACCATCTACTTACGTCAAATAAATACTTTGTCAAAAGAAGATGGGCGCTTTATTCACGCTAAAGTTTCGCTTGCTCAGCTCGTCGCTATGTTCAATTTTATAGTACCTATTCGGCAATACTGCGTTATTGTGTAAATGTAGCGATATTATTAATTTGTACTAAGCGATTTATTTAAATTATATTTTGTTAATGTGTTACATGTGAAAAAAATAAATTTTGATTTTGTTTTTTATTTAAGCCCGTTATCTACAAAAGCGGAACGGAGGAAACAATGCTTTTAGCAACCTTACATTACATTGACTGAGCGACGATGTCAAAATAACAAAATACTAATTGGTTGCTGAAATACGACTCATCTCCTCTCCGCTTTGATTTATGATGGGCCTTATTAGCGAACGTGTGAGAATAAACAATATCTTGGGCCATCATGTTGTGGACGTAACTATTGTTACGTGCTATATTAAACTTTTGTTAGCAACATAAATGAATCGTGACGCCTCCGCCTTTGTGACGATGAAAAACACTGGGTAATTTTGTACTGAAAAATATGGATTCAGAGCATAGAAATCTAAATAAATTACATTTCAGCGATTCTCAGTTATATTAAACGATTAGTTCCAAAGTTACTGCAGGGTAGCGAAAGAAGATTTTATTTCTGCCGTATCAGTAATACTATACACAAGGCATAAAGTAAAAGAAACCTACATCCCGGGAATTGTGAATATTTTTGTTTGATTGAGATACTATCCCTCTTAGAGCAAATGCACTAGGCGTATTTTTTACGCGCAAACAACGCGCGTTTTGCGGCAGTGGAGACTCAAAAAACAGATTGTTGTGTCTCTATCGATTCAAACGTGCGAAAGACGTTTCTAAGACGCGTAAATATCGCGTTGGAAAGCTGAGTTTCGTTGCAAAAGGGCGTGCGCTCACACCACCCGCAGTTTACGGCGTCACTGAATTTGTGAACGTGTTTACTGGCTGCGACCGAATCTCTCTTTAGTCGCGTTAACGCGCTTCGTATGCGCGTTAAATACACCGTGTTAACTTATGCAACCGATCCGGTATAGGAAAGAACTAATGAATAATCCCTGCAGGTTCTTAATTAACATATTGCCTCCGTGGCCTAACGGTTACCATGCCGGACTGCCACGCAGAGGTCCCAGGTTAGATTCCCGGGCCGGGAGAAATAGTTGTATGGCCCACAATTATTTCTCTCGTGAGTTTGGATGTAATTTGTGGTTGTCTATGTGTGTGTCCATGGCACCCGCGACACAGGGTTGCCCTAGTGCGGGGCTATGTTGAGTGTGTGCGTTATTTGTTAAATATTCCTTTAATTTTTAATAACACGAGCCCGTCCGATGACTTTCGCCGTCACACTCAGTGTTGTCATTTTTTTTTAATTTCCTCGTCCTAACGAAATTGACAACTAATTTTCCAAATTTAGAAATTATTGTAATTAGTGATAAGCTTTTTAAAGTAAATAATAGATTAAACAATAGGTTTTGCTAACAATCGTGTGCATAAGCTCTTACACTTTTTCAAAATACATACCTCCAGGGTGATAAGCCAGATAATGTGTAACATTGTAGACACGACCTCGTATCGCTAACCAGGCATCCTCTGCAACAATCAACGATATCTATGTCACAAGAAACAATAGTGACAACAAAGGCTAGCATAGCTAGTAGTCGGGTATTTTCATAACTTTGTTGGCATAAATTCTGAACGACTCGAACGGATCGCGTTCACGTCGACAGCTGTTTTCATTAAAATTTCTCAAAAAAGTCGATAAAAACATTGTACAGGATCAAGAGCACGACAAGCTTGACACTTAAGACTTATGCTTAATCCAACTCTATGCCGCTTACAATAAGAACGGTCCAAAGTATAAAGTGTCAAGCTTGACGTGCTCTTGACTGTGCCCTTAGTATAATAAAGCCACATGTGGTCCGTTAAAGGTGTTTCTATCACATGAAAGTCATAAAAATATTAGGAACTACATGAAATAAAGTATGCAATGTGAAAGACCAATGGCGAACTCGCAAATGCAATTTTGTTGACATAATTTGTATGCGCGTCTGTTTATGAAAATATAGAGTTTTAGAGGGACATAACCCTGTGTGCGATGGAATTACACGATTTGATTCCGCCTTCCTCTTTCCATCACCGGGGGACTAGGCGTAGGCTTGGGTTCCACCCCTATGTTGTGGATATTCCAAAGATTCGCACGAAGCGTTACGCTTCCGTTTATATGGCGAACGGCTATGGAGAAGAATTCCCTGCCTGCAGACTTGTTATATAATAGCATATAATAGACATTATTTAGGTGTGCATGCTCCACCGTCGACCTTATCGTCACTTTCCAACAGGTGAGATGGAGGTCAAATGCGCACTTATATTTTATATGTAAAAAAAATAGGTACCTATGGTCTAAAGGCATGACGTTAAGTCACAAGAAAAGAAAAATACATACCCATGTCCTGGTAACTCGGACACAAATATTTTTTTTTTGTGAAACGTGCCATTTATCTATCCCTGATATCGGGATTTTTTTGTCCGTTTTACCACTTTCTCGCGTGGCATATTTGTACTTATTTTTTTAAATAAACATGTTAATTTATTGCAAATCGGTCGAATCACAGGTTTGATAATACGCAAACTAACTTAATTTAGACCTATCTATCGTAGGTACTGAAAATTTTGTTTTGGCGGCTAGATGTCGCTCAACGTTAAGAAACTGAGGGTCGTATTCTAGAACTCTACTCAATGCTCAAGTCAAGATTTGAGCAGACTTGAGTATGATTTCAAGCACTGGAAATATGACCCTAATGGCAAGGACTTAAGTATGATTTTCAGTGCTCGCTGCAATACTCAAGTCCTGACTTGAGTATTGAGTAGAGTTCTGGAATACGACTCTAAGAAACTGACAGTTCTAATTATCAGTCCAGTTATATACTAATTAGTCATTTGAGTAGTAGTAGAGCTCCTTGTGAAAGAGTTCGTCCTGGGAAGTACTGCCAGCTTACCTATTTCTGCTGCCAAGCAGTAACGTCAGCATTACTGTGTTCCGGGCTTAAAGTGCTGGTGGAATTACAGGCTTATGAGACTTGTCAACTTACGTCTCAGGGTGACGGGCGCAGTTGCAGTGCCCCTGATTCAGATCTTTGCGATTTAAAGCTCTGAGTGGCACTGCAATTGTTATGGACAGGCGTGTAGCTTACCATTAGGCGCACGACTTGTTCGTCCAGTCACTTGATGTTATAAAAAAAGAAAGTTATTTGAGTTTCTTTTAAATATGATTTTATTTCCAGACTTAGATAGGCATTTAGTATAATTTGAAAAACTTAATCAATTTATTTTAATCAAACTTCCAATTATGACATTAGAATACGCAGAATTCATTTAACAATGATTTGTATATAATAATGTGAAATGTTCTTTCATTAAAAAATTAGACTCTTCTATTAAACGAAAAAAATTTTCGAGTAATTTCATTCGTAGAATTTTTAACGTCACCGCTGAAAAGTCCTTTTGTAGATGTGGCCTTTAACATAACCCCATACCTGTTAGTGGGTGTTATAATAGAGACTATTATACATAGATTACGGGTGCAATGCGACAGACGATACGCTTGGTAAGCGTGATCAATATGGCACGTCTTACAGTTTGAAAGAGTATTTATTCCGCAGTCTTTATAAATAAGCAAAACCAGCAGTGGAAACTTTTCTCTTGTCAACCGATTCTGGCGCTATTATAGATAAATAGTGAACGCTATGTTTATATTGTAGAGTTAATCGCGCAAGGTCTTTTGTGAAAGTTAATATACTTCCCCGAGAATATTAAAAATCGTATATTTGGTATAATACATATTTTATCAATAACCTGGTCAATAGAGTAGATATTGATATCTTCAACCCTAGAGTTGCCACAGTGAGTACTCAGCGATTTTTTGTTTAATTCTTAGGAAAGATTTTTTTCTTCTTGAATTTGTGATTGGAACTGCCTCTATTTTTCTCTTTTTTTGAATTTGTAACTGCCTCACGGTTACCTTGATGGCCTGCTACGCAGAGGTCCCAGGTTCGATTCCCGGGCCGTAAGAAATATTTGTATGGCCTACATTTGTTTTTCTCCTGAGTTTGGGTGTTTCCACAGGGTTTCCCTAGTGCGGGACTATGTTGAGTGTGTGCGTTATTATTATTATTATTATTTATTACAGGTTTACAGCCACACATGTACTCTCAGATGCAACTTCTACCTGGACAGGTCACAGAGGAAGAATAGGCAAGGATCTCCTCAATCAAGTCCTAGGCAAAGTCAATTGCGCTGATCAATGTTCACATTTCTTCTGTCTCTGTGGACCAATGGATTTCACCCACTCGGCACACTACTTGTTAGGAGAACGCCAAGTTAAAGATAGCTATCTATATGCATTTATGAGATAATTATATTTTGTAAAGAGAGGTCAATGTGCAATATATTTAGTATGTATATAAATCTCTATAATGATGAATTAATAAATTATGGTTTCCCTAGTGCGGGGCTATGTTGAGTGTGTGCGTTATTATATTATATTGTAAAATTATCAAAATTTCTTCGATCTCTGTTTTCTCTGTGCTTACATGTTTATGTTATATAATATCTAAAAGTGTAAACTAAATTGACCTACTTCACTGTTTATTTTAGTTATATATAGTTACAGTTTACGAATAGATAAAATAAATAAAAAACAAATTAAAAAAGTCACATGTGATTAGATTATATGTCAAAAGTGCTTTTATCACATTAACGTCATAAAGATAATACGAACTACATGTAACAAATTATGTGTATATGAAATTTTATAACTGTCACTTTTTAAGCTAAAAAATTATCGACTAATTTCGTTCACAGAACCTTTAAACCACTCTCCTGTAAAGTTGTAATTTTGAAGACTTGGCCTAATTACACCAAGAGTGTGAAATATTGCCTTCTGTGCCTCTACCATGAGATTACAGTGACAGTTATGGCTAGTGATCGCGTGCAATGTTTGTATACAAAATATTATTTCTTCTTGTGACCACTAGGGGCGCTGTATTGCCTGTGATGTAATTTATGCGGTCGCTAGCGACAATTGTCACAATAATTTCGTGGTAGAGGCACAGCACTATAGTATCAAAACACTGTAGCTCTAAAACAGCATTTTGAGAAAAAGGAAATATTCGTTTTTTTGTCATTTTTCGGGTTAAAAACGTAAAACGAATGTATTCAACTATGTTTGAATATTAGATATTAAAGTTTTCTATCCAACCAATAGAACATTACAAAATAAGTTATTTCTATCGAAAAACGATTCATAGCAGCTGATCTTGATGATGAATCTTGTTTTGAAATGACATTGTAAAACAATGTATTAGGACTTATTTTCCATCAATGAAACCGCTTCACAAACGAGACCTGTGCGTGGTAGGCGAGAATTCATATTCACATATAATTAAAACGAGTCACTGTAAGTCGAGTCGCGTGATCTCGTTACGCTTTGTATAATACACATAAATTTCTTGGCTTTGATTAAGTTGTTTAACTTACTTTGTGTGTTGTGTGAAGCGAGCTCTGCAGGGGAAACAGGACGGATGCGACCACCGACGCCGGTGAGGTCCTTTCCGGAGTTGCCCAGCCGGATCCAGTCCATCAGACTGTGTCCGGGTTGCAGCGCGCACTTGTTGCGGGGGTTGCCTGCAGAAATATTAATACTTTAATACGACGTGTTGCACTGTACGCGAAACTATCTAATTATTATTTATTACAGACCGGAATGCCAGTTCAAATAAAATTCTGACGTACGAGCAAAATAAACAAGAGATTTTCACACCGCGCCTGCTGACGACAAAAACGAAAAGATGAACAACAATATATGTGCCAGATTATCATACTGACTACCTGGGGACCAATTGTCGTAAGCTGCGACATTTTGTCGATCTCGAGATAATGTGTCGCTCTTAATGTGTAAATGTATGACAAGAGTGTTTTCCCTTGAGAAAAGTTACTAAAATCTAAAAATGTCATAGTAAGAATGTTAGGTAGATAGATATTATTAGTACTTATAGCCACGTATATACCGTTTTTATCGATTATATGCAATAATAAAGTAATAGGAAGTGTACACTTGAATCAAGAGCTGTTTAGTATTTTTTATCGTAATAACGGAAGGTAACGAAACGCGTCGTTGCTATTGTACGGGGTCCATTGACAAAAATCAATTCGTGTAATGTTATTCAGTTTTATTGAATGTCAGGATGTTTCACCAGCATGTTATTCAATTGGTTTTTTGTGAAATTACTGCACTAGTTACTTTTATTATTAAACAAAGATACGACATTTAGAAAAAAATCACTCCGCTCCGGCTGGATTTGAACCAACGTCTCCTAGCAAACAGTGCCAGACGCTACGCCAACTAAGCTACGGAACGAACCAACGGACTTCACAAATTTTCCGATGTGTTTGTTGCAGAGCTTTGTTTTTCGTTTTTAACGACTTTTTTGCATAAGCGCCATCTGTGAGAGATCTATGAAAGTTTTTCTTCACTCAGCTTTACAGCTACCAGCCTCTGACTAGACATGTCACTTTAATAATTGAAATTAAGTTTTATTGAATGTTTTGCGTAAAGTTGTTTTAAATTATTCCATGAATATTTTTGGCCCTTTGTAAATATTTTCTTCGTTTTAATATTATTATTATTATTTGTTGCTGTGTATTATGTATATAATTTGTGTGTTTATTTAGGTTTAGTCGAATTAAGTGTGTATTTAGGTTTAGTCGATTAATTAACTAATTTATGTAACATTAGTTATATAGGTGTTAATTTTTTTTAATTTAGTTTTAGACTGATAGTCTTGTAGTCAATAAAAAAAACAATGTCAAAATAACATCTTTTATTTTTATTGATCGTAAGATCTGCTGGTAGATCCGTAGGTGTGTTAGCAGAGCGTCCAGTCGGGTCAAAGGATTTATTCCATGTGCTTGTTTGATCTTTGAATAAAATAATATCAAATTCAAATTTATGTCGACATTTAGCCACATCGGTAGAGATCGGGTTTGCTGCCTTGATCACTCGTTACATGTTGAACGCTAAAGCCCAACTTACGTTTATCGTTATATAGCAAAAACTGGAAAAACATGACGACAGTTGATCGCAAAGATCGACTTTCGCCATGTTCTTTCGACATTTCTCCACTGCGACATTTTCTTTCTAAAACGAGTGCCGTCTCCCTGACCTATTTCGTGTTTTATGAGTCAAAGCAACGAAAATAACTTTGCACTACAGGAATCGCAACTGTGAGCTTTCATGCACAAATCCTAGAATTCTTAATTAAGAAGTCATTAAGTATGAATGAATTATGTTGTATCCAAAGTCCAGGTTTTGTTTTTACATAAAAACATGATATTTACTTACTAATTTATAATGTGTCTATGCCATGATTATTTATGCCATTATTAACTATGCCATTATTATTATTAATCCGACTGCAAAATAAAGGTAATACTTTTGAAAGTAATCTACAAACTACATTGACTTAACGTTACGTAAGGGAGCCGCCATATTTTGCGACATGGAATAAGCTGGTCAAAAAAAGTTTTATGTTTAAATAATAAGAACGAAAAATATGTCTTTCGTGGCGACTATCTAAGCGGACATAAAGCTTTTTTAAATCCAGCTCAAGCCGATTCCGCGTTAAAAAGTGTAGTGACACATTCACTCTTAGCCGTGACCTAGCTACTTAATTTTAATAAAAAATAATAAATATAATTTAAGTTAATTATAATGTACCAAACACATACACTAACTACTTGGTCTCAAATCAGGGAATTCCCTGTATTATGAATACCAGAGCATAACGGAATTCACTCCGATCCAGAAGGGCTAGCACGATAGGGCGCGACTTGTGCGAGAGCTACATAAAAAAACGAGATGTCTATGCGAGAACAGCAGTATCTCGCGCTTTACGTCGCTCTCGCGCAAGTCGCACCCTTTCGTTCTAGCCCTACAGTTCCAAACTAATTTAAAAAAAGATCAATCCCAAATTGGCCTTACCGGGAATCGAAGCCGGGATCTCTTTATACAGCGCCCACAGTGTGTTTAGGTCCAGTGAGCTCATCAAAAGTTATTATGTTGTTTTTGTAAAGACAACAAAATATGCGATAAACCTCGAACAATGTACTCTGGTGCCATTATTAAAAAAAATGCGAAGAACCAACAAAGACGAAACGTAACAATAAAATGTAAGCCCGCAAAGTTTCCCCTAAATCGACAAAGTTAAAGAATGACGCCCTTCCACGCGGTATAAGTCTTTAATGTTAAAAAAACTCCGCGTTTCATGTTATTTTTATATTGCTTCAGTTGTTATAGGTCCATAACAAAAGCAATACTTTAGGTACTTCAATATTTTATTCTTAATCGACTGAGTTGGCAAATAGCGGATTCCATAAAATACACTTAAATATCGAGTGTATGAAAAAAAAATCTGATTTTGAGAGCTATTTTAAATAGAAAACTACCACGAGACTTAACATAACAAATAAACTAACGTATAAGTCACGTAATAAAGTCGAATTTTCCCTCGAAATGTTTCGAACTAGTCCGTGGTCAGCAGCCGTGTCAGCACTCATTTTGATACAATATTTAGTTGTGTTTAGTTGCAGAGCCACTGTCATGACACACGTCACAATTAGGGAACTAAAAATTACTGAAGAGCAACAGACGCACGGCTGCCACACCTCTGCAGCGCTTCTAAAAGTGTCTAATTTGAATGCGCCCTTAATCATGAGTTTCAGCGGCGGTGGTTCGACGGAAACTATTAATATACATTATGGGAGTTATACTATGAAATGAAATCGAAGTCCCGAAATGTAAACAAACAACTGTCACTATCAAAGTGACATCTCATAGATTACAAACCATTTTTCCGGTTCGTTTATTAATAGGTTCTACTTTTCATATATAGGATAATAATTATAAGGAAAAATTACACTTTGGTTTAAATAACTTACAGGATTAGAATAATTTTGTGTCATAAAATATTTTCAATTGAGAAATGATGATATGAGGAAATAAGAAGGGCCCATAGAAAATTGTCCCAGACACGGCGCAAAGACACATAACTATTAGTGTTTATAATATCACTTAGTTGACATATGATGCTGCTAAGCCCATCGATCAGTAGTCTGAGAAAGATGCTAAATGTGTCTGAAACTTACGACGCATGGTATGGACTAAGGTACAATGAAAGAAGAGCGAGTTTTTTGTGTTTACATATAAAGACCTAAATAATATTTCACAGCTTTTTCTAAATGGTGTACCCTTGAATCGTATCTCTCTGTTTAAGTACCTAGGACACATTGTTAATGAAGATCTTGAAGATGATGATGACGTTGACAGAGAGCGCAAGACGTTGTCGGTGCGCGTTACTATACTGGCTCAGAGGTTTCCTAGGGAGCACCTAGGAAACCTCTGTAAATATCGGTAAATGTAAAAATGACTCTTTTGAGAGCTTACTGCCAGAATTTTTATACAGGTGCACTGTGCACCAACTTCACACAGAGAGCTTACGACGCCTTGCATGTAATGTAACTTACAACAATATCTTTAGGGTTTTGTTCAGGCTTCCTTGGTTTTGCAGCGTCTCTAACATATTTGCGGATGCGTGTGTAGATGATATTTACGCAATCATGCGCAAAAAAAGTGCGTCATAGATGTTGCGTTTGCGTGTGAGCACCAATGGTATCCTGAGGATGATAGCAGGAGGCTATCTTCCGTGGGTTTATCGTGTTACATGTGGACGTATAGTAATGTAATTAAATTTATTATAATTGTTCTGCTTGTTTATACTAATTTATTTGTATTTACCTACATTCGATAACGATAAGACAGAACGCGACGATGCAACTCGATTTGGTGGGAATGCAAACCGATGACCTGACCCGTTATTTATCCATAACGATCAAAAACCGACTTATTATTTTTTAAATTAATTGTAATTAACAGTATTTAATAATGAATGAAAATAGTATTCTTAATAAAAAATACTACTTGTAATAAAATATGTCTAAAAGTATTAATACTATATCAATAAATTCTTGTTAAAAACGCTTCTGCTTAAAAATATTTGTGTTTGTATACCTAATAAAAATAAAAAACTGAATTAACAAAAAGGGCAGCGATAGGTTGTGCATACCCGAAACATTGCCAATAGAATAAAAAATCTTTCCACTGGAATCAGTTTTTTGTGCTTATCTTACTAGTAGGGTGTTTTAAATAAATATTAAGATTTTGTACATGCACACAAATTATGAACAATATAAAATATCTTGCATTAATTTTACTACTTTACTATACTTAAAATCTTTTTTGTAATGACATCACCTTTGTTTAATTTTGGAACTTCGACTTCATCTCAGAGTATAGTTTCGATATATACTATATTCCTAATACTTTTCTACCGGATTACACAGGAATCGTACAAAAGATTATGCTAATGGTACGAGCGATACCGATCACGTTCGACCAAAGAAAAATAATAAAATAAATTGAATTGGTCTACTGGGACGACCCAGTTTCGAGTGGTCCCATATTATGAATACTTAAATAAGCTACAAACCTTTTACTTAAACAGGATTAGTTCCAGATTTCTGAATAGCTGAGCAATCGGCCCGCTTAAATATTCAAACAACACTAGTAA